GCGTGCTCCTGCGAAATTTTGGTTTGCAACCAACAATTTATTCTGATATTTTTGACCAATAAATAGCCACAATCCCAAAAGTCGCTGTAAACGACCTCAAGGAGGTCGTCCAGAGCGGTTTTTGCAAAAGTCGATGGAAACGATTTTGATTGGCTACTTTTCCAAAAACCGCTGACACAAAAGTCGCACTAAGTACTAAGTTACTTCGACGTATTGTTACGTGTTAATACCAGTAGTAGTTTCTGCAACATCGTCAAATTAACAGATCGTTAGACCTTTTTAGTTATAGCACGCATCATGTCGAGAGTGCTCCTCATAAATTCGATCTGCATTTGACGCTCCTGCTGTTCCAGCGCCAAACGGGCTTCCCTCTCTGCCTTCTCGAGGAGGTACCGCTTCTCGTCAAGTTCGAGCTTGCGCGCGGTGATGGCATTGACCTCCTTCTGGAGCGCGAGCTCTTCCATCCTGACCTTGTTTGTGCTTTCCAACATGGATATGAAGGTCGCCACATCATGGGTTGATTCCTTGAGGATGGCGGAGCGACGACGACTGTACTTCTTTGGTGTCGTCGCACCATCGGAATCACTACTCTCGCCGTCCTCCTCCACCGCCTTCCGCTTCAAGTCCACGACAGCGCGCACGGCAGGGTCTCTTGCTTCGCGCTTGTCTTCTCTACTGCCCTTGTCTTCCTTGGAGGCTCGTTTCTTGTCGGAAATCGCGTCAATCTATATCATAACGTGTGTTTGTTGCTCATCGATGTAGAGTTGATGTACCAAGGCCTTCAGGTCTTGCAGCAATTGCTCTCGCTCGTGGTGCTGCTCATCCGTGCCGGATGCCCGCAGCGATGCCAATGAATCCTTGTGGAATGCTGCCAGGAGGTCGTCGCAACGCTTTCTGCAACCGGTGGCGCTAAGGCTGTCGCCGTGGATGGTTCGCATACGGTCCCCGACTTCTGCCCATCGCCCACTGGTTTGACCGTATGGCGCGTCGTGTGGGCATATAGTGAGTACCTCCTTGAGGAGGTCCACATCCTGCGGGATCGTGAAGCGATGGGCTGGTTTTCGCTTTGCACTGCCCTGCTCGTCCGACATCGAAAGGACCAAGACCAAGCAGAATTTCTTACTGAAAGTTCCTGTGGATATAAATATTTCGATAGAAATAAATACCAACTGGATGTTGTAATTTAAAATTGGAATTCATCGAGCGATTTTTTGTACTGAATTTTGTATGTACAAAAATGTTCAGTGGTGATCCCATCACACTGATTAGTTGATGATTGGTTGAACAGATGAATTGTTGCAATCTGATTGGCTCATTCCTTGACTGATTCTTCTGGAGGCTGCGGGAATCCGGTTTCGCCTGGGCAAAACTCGCAAAACGTAATGTAATTTTGAATGAAAACTTGGACGAGTCTTAATTTAAAATGAATATAAAACGTTTTCGAAATATAAACAGCCCAGTTTACATTTTGTAAACTGAAAATCAAGTACTTTGACTGAAACAAAGCGTACCTAAACTTTCTCCAAATCCTTTCAATTTGTTTGTCCATAGACCTCTCATCAAGTTTTCAACGAATCTGTAATCAGATTCATGAACTTCGTGTTGGTTCACGTGATATCACACATGACTCGTATAACAGAGCGCAACGTTGAGATTACACTCCTAGATTGTGGAATGAAAATACATTCAAATAGAGTCAAAATTGGACACGAAAGTGTGTCAGTTTACAAAGTGTAAACACCTGTACACGTTTTTTATTAACTGCCAAAAGTATTCTATTTTTCGTTTGAAAGTCAACCTGTCGAATTTACAGTTAGTACGGTTGTGTATATTGTGGGTTTTGCCCAGGCCTAACTGGTTTTCATTGAGTCGATACATTCATTACTACTACGTACTAGTAGTACGTACTTGAAGTAGAACGTACTCATATTTGGCACATCGCGCCAGTATTGACAAAACGCAATAACGAGTTAAACAAAATATATTGGCTTAAACGATTTTGGCCCAACCAATCCGATTGAAAAGACGATGATTTCCATTCACTGGGAGCCAATCAGAATGGTATGTGTTGCCTGAATGCCCAAGTTGAAGTGGGCGTATTAATAACGTCCACCTACAGTACCAGTACACCAAACTTCCAGAAGCCCACCTGAACAGTGAGTGGATGGATAAAGCAGCATCGAGATCGAGCAATGGGTATTGACAATGAGTACCAATAATAATAGCGACCATTCGCTTGCATTCAAATCATGCATTCGTCGAGCCTAGTCGAACGTAGCCAGCCTTGGATGGGGCTGGTTTCCGGGGCAAAAACGTCACGAGCAGTAGAACGCACACAGGTTTGACCAGTTCAAACACCCACGACAGCCAGGGACTGTCTGGCTCCACCGAAGCACCCGTTTGGCAAGTCATTGCCACGAGCAAAGTACTTTGAATTTGACCGATTCCATGACACACAAAGTACAACGACGCCAGCGTAGCGATAGCGGCAATGTTGCGCAATCGTTTCGGCGAGTCTTCGCCCACGCGTCGCAACACACCGCGCATGCGGTGGCCGTAATATGGGAACAGTCCAATGGCCAACAACGATACAGTCGCGACGCCAGCGTGGGTACCAGTTTGTAGCCAACACACGATACTGCTGCTGCTTGTGTTGTTGGTGGCGTAGTAGTTGCTACGACTGGGTGGACGGTTGGCCAACGTTACGCCAAATACAACAGTGTCAAAGACATATGCAAGGCCAGACACGGCCATAAACGCCACGACAGCCACAGGCGCCGTCACCGTCGTGGTGCGCAACGTGTCCATTCTACGAAAAACAACGTGAAGATGTGGCCGGTAGGTGATTTGTTGGTGGCGTGGTAATACATACCGTTTCGCAATGACAGACCAGTTGTACATGATCAGGAGGTACGCAGTGACAAAGAAGACGTCTCCAGCCATGGTAGCTGCGGATGCTAGAGGAGTCGAAGGCGGCACCAGCAGGGTGCTAGAAAGTTCACATATCGACCCAACGACGAGGCAGAAGTACAAGGCCATGGCGGCATAATCGCGGTGCCAGTTGAGCCACAAGCGGTAGACGCCTAGTACCATGAGAGCCATGTGCAGCCCAAGCTGCCACCACCTGAGCAAGACGGGTGTCGTCATGGAATCCATCACGGGTGCGACGTCTCGTGCTTTGAAATGGCAGGTTGCAATTGCAATTGCAATGAAGCATGAAGATCTCCGCCACCCCAGCATTCGATCCTGGTCTATTCAAAATCGAATTATAGAGGTTTTTAAAAACCTATCGGATTTGTGCTTAATTTTGGTGGCATTGGATTGGAGTATAAAAACCAATCGATTCACTGCAGACTTCGGGACCACCTTTACCGCTCCCTCAAAGTCCGCTGCCTGTCGCTGAGTAGCCAAGTTGAAGCTCGACTAACAGCACCACAATCCATTCGTTCTCGTCATGCTGTTCCCCCGACTCACCGCGCTATCATGTACATGCACATCCTAGCAGCATGTGCCCTGATATTCATGGTTATCCTAGGCCTCGTCAACGCCACCTTCTCAACCCAACCTCCACGGCACCTTTGCGACGAGCCTCGATGCTTCACAGCTGAGCGGGTGGTATGCATTCCATCACCTACAACGTCTTGCCCGCCGTGCTGGTCGCGCCATGGCCAGACAGTTCGTTGTCGCTCTGGTTTCGTTGCAGGAGGCGGTGATGTGGCCATTTGTCCTCATGACACGACGACCTGCGTTTCCAGATCGGCAAGTGCCGCCAGCAGATCCGTCCCCCGATCTTCCAGCCGCCGACGCCGCCTAGTAGACACCACCAAGGCGTCGTCTTTACCCACTTCCACGCCAATGACATCTACGAATTCGTCGACGTCTACCACCTCCACTGACGGGGCCTCCAGCAGCATGACCACATGGTACACCTTGGCGTGCATTGGACTGTGCAGCCTAGTCGTGCTATTGTACGGCGTGCTTCGATACATCAACCGAACTCAAGCCCGGGAAGCAAAGCAAGACAAGGAAGACCAGGCGCTGTATGACGTTGAAGCCACTAGCAAGGCCCAAATGACGACGACACAGCCCCTGCCAGATGTACCACCGCCTCCTCCTCGTCCTCCTCGTCGTAGCCAGCACCACAAGCCCAACGTGGACGGTCACGAATATGCGACTCGGTCAATGTTCCACACGGTCGGTCGCATTTCGTTGATGGACCATGACGTGGCACCACACCAGCAGCCCCCCCTTCCAGGAATGCTGAAGTCGGAGGTGACGCATCGAGACAGCGCGAGCATATTTATCATGGAAGACTCAGGCGACATATGGGACGTCGATGGCGACGACGACGTGGACCCACGTGCCTACAATGGACGAGGAACCGCTGACACTTCCAAAAGTACCTGCACGTTCTGAACAACACGCCACTAACCAATCGATTCAATGTCACAACGTTATTAGAATTATTGCCAATGCAAATATAGTGAATATAATCAATTGCAAAGGGCGCTGGCAAATTGCAATGATTGATTGTAAAACTAGTTATTGGGAGTATTTCAATACTGCGTAGTAATTGACCCAATTCACGGTCAATTATGCCAATATTATCTGTAAGAATTGCTCGCGATGACCAATTAACTGTAAATCATTGCTTCCCGAAATGGTGGCATTAATTAACATATTTAATTGTTAAGCCACTACCTGTACTAGGAACATCAAAGTGTTGGTCAGTCCCCGCACGACATGTATGGAAGTGAAGCGACGATGAAATTTCACGCCTTTTAACTGTCCATTCCGGGCACATCTCACGCCTTTGAATTGTCCATGGCCACCAAACACAATAGTTCCAGCACAACTGTATAAATAGCTACAATGTATAGTAGTGCTAACTCTAAAGCATGAATAGCTACTACGAATAGTATTAATAGTACTAACTCTAACTAGCGGTAAAACAAGTACTAGTATGCAAGCTCGAAAGGGGAGCCATATTGTTGTCGACTAGCAGGGCTTTACAAGGGTTAAAACCCTTCCAGCTAAACGCGTGCATTCAGCCATGCCAGCATATCCCGCATGAATGGCGCCGACACTGCTTCGCCCTCGGCCATCAACAGATGCCCCCCGCCAGGATACAAGTGCAATGTCTTATCTTTGGACGACGCTACATGAACAAAGTGGCATGACCTATTCCACTGCCGTGTCAACTGGGCTAGTACCTACTAGTAATAGTAGGTCCACGTACACATCGTAGGGTACTACTGCGTCGGCTTCGCCGTGCTGGACGAGCATGGGCAGCGTCAGTTTGTGTAGTTGGGATGACACTTGTTCGATGCCAGCAAGCACCGCCAGCCCCGTGCCCAGTTGAAGGCGCCCGTCGTAAAACAACGGGTCCGCTTCTTCCTCGGACATGGACAGCGGTAGGGTGTTTGCAGGCGGCGGCGTGGCATCGACGGAAGGAAGTAAAGGCAGTTTTGGTGCAAGTTGGACCAAGAGCCGACCGACAAACTCGACGTGAGGAGGTGGCCGGACGTCGGCGGCAACATGGAGCGCCGGCGCGTGGAAGATCACGCCGGCCAAGAGACCCGCGTCGGACTGCGCTTGTAGTTTCAACGCGGTATGCACAGCCGTCAGTCCGCCCATGGAGCTACACGACGACTTGAGAGAGGTTGATGATGGACCTAGAGGGAGGGGAGTTGAACAGTACATACCCGCCGATCAAAAACAGCGGAACGTTCGGGAAACGTTGCTTGAAATGCCGAACCATAAACAGCGCGTCGTCGGCGAGCTCCGCGATCGACGTGACGTGGCCGTGGCGACCTGAACTTCGACCAAACCCGTGCGTGTCGTACGCAGCCGCAACCCACCCGTCCCGAAGCAACAAGTTGAAAAACGGCGTCGACCGTCCGCTGTGTCCATTCATGCCATGTACAAGAAGCACGACACCCTTGGGGGAAGGTTCCAATGGTGTCCACCATTGCGTGTACAGGCGGTAGCCATTATTGCGGAATACGTACTCGGTGTCTCGATTAAACATTTTGAGCAGCGCCACCTCGAGGCTAAGGGGAGGCACATCCATGCGCTCCTTGGCTTCTTCTTCGCCTGGACCATAGAGGACGCGAAGAGTTACAGCTGACGCAGTGAACAAGCCCGCGACGCCCACCGCCAATTCGAGAAGCATTGCTGGGATCGGGGATGCCTGCAGAAAAAAAGCAGAAATCAAGAAAGGATTGCATCAGAAAAGTACACAGGAACCCTATGACAATTGATGTATTATGATATACAGGGCAGTGAGTTGTAAAGGCTGTGGTGGAGCGAGTCGTGGGCTTGCACGAGAGTTTGCCACGTCATGATGTCAACGCATCAGACAACGAGTACATGTGATAGCCAGAGGACATATCACTTTCAAGCTCCCCGTACGACCTCAATGTAGCTTACGATGTTACAGGACTGTATCGGCAACTGACCGAGTATGGCCTCCACAACAGTCATTCCAGCCACAGCAAGTTGGAACCAATTTGTAACCTCATGATCGGTTTCACGAACCGTTACACAGCCTGGAGGTAATGAGGTGATCCAACTAAGATCAAAACACCTCACACGTTCCCGACGTCTCGACGTTCGGTGGCGTCCTCCCCATGATGGACGACGACGACGGGGCCACGTACGTGGTGCAGACGTATCTGACGCTGCTGTCGTCGGAGGAGCACGTGAGGTTTTCGAACGCAGCCCATCACATCCAGCTGTGGTTTGCCGTGTTCAACCCTCGGTTCAACAATGACGACCGCAGCATTCTCTATCGTGCCATTTACGAATCGGGGTCTGGGCCGGAAAAGAAACTGGCCAAGGCATTGCAGCAATGGTATCGGGTGTGCGCCGTGGGCCGGCGCACCCGTCGCCGCCTCCTCACTCAATCATTGGAATTACCCCACGCAGGAATGGCGACGAGGGCGTCGTCCCCCCCTACTCAACTGCCTGGGGGGACGCGTGAAGCCTCATATCGTAAAGTGAGCCGCCATGCCCGCTACAGCGTGTCCGATCTTCGCACCGACTATGATGATGACGACGACGCCCTTGCGATCCAAGAGACATTGACGCAAGTCATCCATGAATGGCGAACCGCCGAAGAAGACGAGTTTGTCGGTATCCGAGACAACCTGCTCGACAAGTACGTGTTGTTGGCACCCCCGTCGTTCGTTTAGCAGCCCTAGACAGTGGCTTGAAACGACATATAGGGAAGAAGCCGACATGATCAAGGAGATTCGGTACTTGGCGTCGCTTCGGCTCCGGTTTCAACTTCCCGAAACGGACGACATCTCGCCGTCGCAATCGGCTTCCCCCTCAGCTTCTTCATTACGCCATGGCGACACGCTGTTGCATTACCTCGTTCAAACCATTCCCAACATCACCCCCGCGGTTCTGCAAGAGTTTTTCCGCGAAGGCCTTCACATCCACGAAAAGGTGCGTCAAAATTCTCCCCTGATCTACCGGTATCGTGGCTCTGAGCCCATCCCCTTCACGTGTCTGCCAACATGACGCTACGCTAACTAAGAGTGGATTGCGAACATGCTGATGACATCTTGCCCTTCTTCTTTGGTGTAGGGGGCGAACGACCGATCGCTTCTTCACGCCGCGGCGCACGGGGGCCACATCAGCACGGTCCAACTGCTGGCCAAAGAAGGTATGGACGTACTGGCTACAGATGGATACGGATGCAACGCCCTGCACGACGCGGCGCGCGCGGGGGCCCTCCCAGTTGTGCAGCACCTCGTCGACGACATGCATGTGAATGTGGACGTGCCCAACAAAAATGGCCGCACTCCGTTGCATTACGCGGCTGAGTTCAACCGCCAGGACGTCGTCGAGTACTTTGTCACACACAACCGCATCAACTTGAACGCGATCAACGGCAACATGCGCACGCCGTTGCACATGGCGGCAGCGCGAGGCCACATTGACGTGGTGCACTTGCTCTTAAATGCGGGCGCCGCAATCCTTCCCAACATGGCGGGCGACACGATCTTCCACGATGCCGCCAAGTTCAACCACGTCGACTTGTTGGAATCGTTCACCAAGCAAGGCGGATATGCGCGCTTCGCCGTGGCCAAGAACAACCAAGGAAGGACTCCGCTGCATGTGGCCGCGGCAAACAGTGCGGTCGAAGCGTACGTTCTCTTGAACGGGAACCCGTGGTCGGGGCGGCATGCCGGGCTCATGAAGGTGCGTTGGACTAAGAAGAATCAGAATCAGTCGTACATATGGGTGGACCTGGACTCTGAATCAGTCCACAATGAATACCAAATGTGACATGACAGGATGATGATTGTAATCCGATGTGCCCCTTGTTTCTTGTAGGACGACTTTGGGCTGTATCCGCTGAATTTACTGCTCGAAAGCGATGCGATTCCCCTCGAGAACGGACTCAACTTGGCGAAGTACACCCCTCGTAACAACCACACGGACCTCGCGCACGAACGCGAGCCAATTTGGAACGACGACATGTTTGCATCCCTCTTGCGAGAGTCCCCCGAATATGCGTGGGCTTTCCTTGACGGGTTCAAAGTCGCCGTGTCGTGGTCTTGTGGTCGCACCGAGTGGTCATTTCCCAAGGTATTTGCTTGTTTCACTGTCAATCTCATGAAGGATTAGCTGCTTTCGATTGGCGCCTAAGCTAACGTTAGGGTACATTTGTCTTGGTTTGATATGGTTGTTTCCGAATCGCCACTTGTGGATGTGGTAGTATTGTGCTTTTCTATTTTTACCAATATTGAGACTACTATGATTGGCTCATCAACATGACGTCGATACCAATCTAATGGCCTTGATTTCGAGTGCTTTAGCCTGGCACTTGGCCAATGTAGAATAAATTCACTTGATGCTCGTGCTGATGTTGTGTTGGACCTGTATGTAGCTTGGCGACATGTATGGCGACGTGTACGCCGTTGAAAGGAGCGCGTTGGCGAGCATCGTCGAAGCGTACAACCGCGGGGACAAGGAAAAGCGGAGCTATTGCATTACGTGCTTGAGCCATGCAGTGATGACGCGCATCATGCATTTGAAATGGAAGGTAGATATTGTCGAAGTGCTCTACTCAAAATGTCCTCAGTATCATCTCCCATTTGTCGTCTTTCCAGAACTCAATGCAACAATCGACGGACCTTCGAAATATTATACAAAACTCAGTTTAAGGGGTATTTTTATGATTGCATTGCCAATCATAGTGCAACCTTCAATATATTTAGCTAATCATACTGCATTACATCTTTGTTCGATTTTGTTGGATTGATACTGCACTAACGTTATACTTTTCTATCGCCTGCCTACATGCACAACCCCCCCTTTCACTCCCACCGTTAGAGTTTTGGCCGAACCATGTACTTTGTCGAGCTGTTCGGGTCGATATTCCTTCTCTTTGTGACCACCGTGTGTGTGTCCCTGTCCAACGTCCAAGTCGAATTCACGAAACCGCGGTATTGCCTCTTGGTGTTGATGTGGACGTGGCTGTTTGTGTTTACCTCTGGTGCGATCTACGTTTCGCTGCGGTACAGCCACATGAAGAGGAACCTGCAAAACTTGAGCTTCTTGAACCCGGCCACGAAACCGTACAAGCAGCCACCACAAGGCGCCACGTCATCGCGGAAATCCCTGCGCGCACGCGTCGTGTCGTTCCTACTGCCCGAAAAGTTCTTGCGCCGCAGCTCAAGCTTGGCTTACAGCTTTGTCCGGTCCAACTCGACGTTTCGCCAAGTGACCCCCCGCACCAACGCCAACACCTTGGCCAACGGGGGGTTGACAAAGCCGTCAACCAAGCGCCTCGTGCTCAAGGACAGCGTCGTGGCGTTCTTTCTGGGCACAGTCCTCGCCACAGTCGGGTTGATCGTGGGGTCCGTCGTCGCATTGTTCGTGTTTGCGTCGATCGGCGACTCGACGGCGTCGGCCGCGACCAAGTTTTTTCACTTCAACCTGGTGATTCGGTGGATCTTGGCAGTTGAGTTCCTTGTCGTCGAGGGTCTTGTGTGCCATGGCTCACCCAAGCGGTACCTCCGGGTCAAATGGAATTCTGTCAAAGCCGCCGTGTTGATGTGCATTGTCTTGTTTGAAACGCCTTTAGATTTGGGGTGGGTAGCGCTAGACAAGGTCGTAGAAGCGCAAGCCATCTTGTACGCCGTGACGAGCTTACTCCTCTGGGTCAACTTTTTGCAAGTGCTGCGCGTGAACGAATCGACCGGTCCTATGATCACGATGGTCCTGAATATGGTTCCCGACGTGGCCAACTTTCTCATGATGTACGGTGTGTTTCAAATGGGGCTCACGTGTGCGTACTTTGCGCTCCTCAAAGGGGGCAAAGGATTTGAATCGTTTGGCGACACGTTCCTCACTACTTACTTAATCATCTTTGGCCAACTGAATCTGGACGTGGTGCTCGGCAACGAGTACCCCAGGCAGTTGTTCATTTCGGTGTTTATCATGCTGCACTACCTCGTTGTGGCCATCGTGCTGCTCAATGCATTCGTCGCAGTCTTGTCCATGACGGCAGAGAACGTGCTTGAACGAGTGAACGATCAGGTGGTGTTCAACCACGCCGAGTCAATCCTTCGTGCCGAAATCATGATGCCGCATTGGCTGCGCACCCGCGTCCGGCGCCAAGCCAAGGGCAAAAAGACCAAAGTCAAGGGCTTGCTTGCGTTTGCCAAGACTGTGCACATCAAAGACGACGAGAATGAGGCCGAAGACACCACCGACGACACGGTCCGGAAGATCGAACGCGCGCTGGAAAAATGCCTCGATGACGTCCGTGACTTGACCAACCACGTGCGCAACATGCAAAAGCACATGGACTCTCGCATGACAGAAAACGCAGACAAGATGCAAGGCGCATTGGATGCGATTGTGTTGATGCTGCGGACGACCCACGAACAGAAAAACCCGACGACCCCCAAGTTGGGGGATGGTGGAGGGGGGGGTGGAGTGCCACATCATCATCATCGTAGCATGGCGCTGGCTCCCACGTCGACGTATTAAATGCCGGCGAAACAAGGGCAACGCTACTGAACCTAGAGGGAGACTATAATTATAAACGTGTTGATGCAAGTGATATATTTCTGAAGTATAGTTTTCGTGATTCTATTGAAGCCAGCGGGGGGGGTAGAACGTCAACGAGATGGAAATGAATGGTACATCGAATGCTGCTCTGGAGAAGTACAAAAACCATGTGCTACAACTGTAAGGCGTAACGTAGCTTCATGTGCAGCCGCGCGGAAGTGTAACCTCGTTAACAGTTAATCTAAACCAGCCCCCAGACGAAACAAATGGGGGAAACGAAGGGGCCTTAAAACTACAGTACAGTATCACTTGATCTCGGGAAAAGTGTTGGTGAAAAACAAAATCTAAGCCGTTGATTGGACAAAACTATTTGGACAAAATAGGTCAACGATTGGTCCATAATTATGTTTGAATTTTGAAAATGCCGACACCCCAACGTGTCCAACGGAGGTACACCATTGAGGCAAGGGTGAAACTCCTCTTGGCATATGAAAACTCTGACTTGAGTGCCAATGCCATCTGCGTCCGTGAAGGCATTCCACGCTCGACGTGGCAAACCTGGCTCAAGAAAAAAGACGAGTACCTTAACACGCGGCGACACAAGGAGGACCCTACACTTGGAGGCCAAGGCAGACCAGAGTCGATGCAATTTGGCGCCGAGCTGTTGGCGTTCATGAAGGCGGTGCGAAAGGACAATCGCCGCCTTACCACAGCGCACATGGTAAGGTGGATCCAGAAGCATCAGCACGAGTGGCTCGAATCGTACTACCTTGCAACGAAGGGAGGGCACGTGGCACTGTTGGGCCAATGTCAACGATTTGCACATCGCCATGGTTTCGCCCAGCAGTGTGTGCCATGTAGCGAAGTTGAAGCGCCAGTTAATAGTTGCGGAGTTGTGGCTAACACCATCGGAAGGTCCGCAATCAACGACGGTAGCCTCTCGTAACGTTAGTTTCAATTTGGTTTACGAACTTGAATGATACAGTACTCACTACTCGGAGTATACCAAAATTAGATGCCTGTAAGTACTTCCCTTATTGTCCTTTTCCCCAAATTTGGACTTATGCTGACTCGCCAAAATCTATCGATCGATTCTTTGTAACGTGAACTACTGTTTTTTGTAAACCCCCATCGCAGTGTCACACTAATTTCATTCACACACTATTTAGATGTTGCATTGGTCCAAGAGTGGATTTGATTGGCTATTTGATTAGTGTTGTGAGGTTTGATTGGTCGACCGAATGTCGATTTGATGCTTCTCATTCGCTTAAATGCTCCATTCAGAGGCCTCTCACGGAAAGAATCCATCGTTTGCTCGAAAATAATGCGCCATTATTCCCCGTCAATCCTTCGTCATGTCACTTTGAAGTAAAACATGCACGGCGTTCGCGGTTGGACAAATTTTCAGGTGATATCATCAAACAAGCACTCCATCATCAAGTTCGGAGGCTGCTTATAACGTTAAATTTGAATTTTTAATGTTTCGCGGTATTTACAAGCTGGCTATCACCCAGGCGCACACATACCGGTATGCAGCAGCGCCCGCGAACTAGACTAATCTAGCGGATGGAGCTTGTGCTTATAACGATAAGTGAGTATTTTCAACGTCGTTTCAGGTCTGCGGATCATCCAAATATGCACTTGACAGGTTTTGCCGCCAAATTATAGATCCGCGCGCGCATGAGCGAAGGACGAGGAGATCGATTCAAGCACGCGATCCTGACAGCTGTTCGAACGTACACAACTCTCTGGCGCCTTTTCATCCTTGTTTACTGTTACTTCGATTGTAAATCCGTCGAAACTTACATGTATTTTGAACCGAAATGGGATCGCAGATATATATATGAGGGGTAAATTCTAGTCGAAAACCCAATGGAGCGTGTAAACAAAGGTACAGTAGCTTCCCCATGCAAGTGCTTTCAAATTGCGCTTACTAGTACCAACGTGAGCTGGTGAATAGAAAAAGCAATAACATTGCACGTTGCAACCATACCGGTAACGTTACTTGGCTGGGAATTTCCTCTTCGTGAGAATTATTAGCTGGATATTTTGACGATGAATACGTTGAAGTACATTGTAACGCTACTGCCGCGTACAATGAACGAGGGAAATTTACTGAATCGAAGTACAGTAGTCGTTGAAATGTGATTGGCCAGCTTCGATTATTTTGACAAATCAAACCAACTGGTTTGAAATACATGATTCGGATTGGATACGTACAGCAGTATTTGGACGAACAAGCAAATTGAACATACTGTATCCAGCATACGGTGGCATTTCTGAGTCAAAAGCACACTCACCATCCAAAAAGAACGCCTTCATGCCACTGTCATGGTCGAGGCCTACAGTACGTACGATACCGCAACCTGGATACAAACCGCCATATTGTTAGAACTATTGCCGACCACGGAGAGTTTCACCAGTAGTTCACAGGCTTCGCTACCAGTATGTAGATCCGTGACCTCATGGGCAACCACCACCAGATTCAAAGGCACACTGGGTGAATTTCTACATCAATTTCTACTACTACTACCTAGCAGTTTTGTACCAATTGACCAAGTAGCCAGGACCAGAAGGAAACCGACCGATTCTGTGGCTGCAACTCTTCGACACATACACCACCACCTGGCAACCCAGTAGAACCCTCCCTGTCATTTCATAACCTCATTTGCCACGATGGCCGCAGCAGCAATCGCATCCACCATGCGGATGCTTTCGATCGAGCCGTTGCGGCGCGACGACCATGCCACCAACCACCGCCTTGCCGACGTCGCCGCGGATCGCCTCTTGGACGACGAAGCCGCATCTTCGTTCGAGTACGCCGGCGCTGTCGATGGCATCGACCTCTATCGAACCAGCCACGGCGTCAAAGCAGTGACGGTCGTGCGTGGCACCGTTCAGTCCCTCGTGCACTCGCTGGCCATGGACAGTAGCACCAGCCAATCGTTTCGAAAGCGCATGTTTCAGTACTTTGGCGAGTCGTTTGTCGATGGTGTCCGGCTCCACAGTGATCCGAGCCCAGTGTCGCTGCACTGGCTCGCGCTCCAGCACGACCACAACATGTACGACCTGACGTTCCTCACATCTACCCACGCGTACGACGACAGCGGCGCCCCCTTGGCTTTTCACGTATATGACGATCCGCCACTCACGGCCGAACACATGCACGTGGGCGTTCAAGTATGGCAACCTGCAATGCTTCCAGGACGGGCCACCACAGACTCGATCTCGCGTCTCGCCCTGCTGCACCCCAGTGGCTTCGTGATTGAATCCAACGGTCCAACGACGTGCACTATATCGTTTCTGCTGCAATTCCAGTCCGTTCCCCCAGCGTCTGTGTTGTCCATGGACGGGATTCAGCACTTGGCAGTGTCAGCCACTCGATGGTTTCGCACTGGCATGCACGGGATGACGATTGTGCCCAAATCTCTGTGGACACACAACGCGTACTGTTATTTGTGCTTTAAATCGTTTGGCGTGGTGTTCGCGAGGCGCCACCATTGCCGACTCTGCGGCCATGCTATTTGCGCCACCTGTACGACGTACGCCCCGTTGCCCGTCCAGGTGCTGCCACATCAGCGACGGTCGCCCCCGCGCGTGCCTATTTGTTTCAAGTGCCCCGAAAGTCTGGCCAAAACAGTTTCTTGCCTCCACGACCAAGAAGGCCCCTCCCCCCATGTCGTGCCCAACGTCAAGGCCATCACCACCACCCCAAACAACTTGCACACGCAATCCACTTTTCGACTTACAGATGCCACGAGTACGAGGCTGCCCTCGAGTCGTGCGACACTGTCGACCCACGTCGCGCATTCTACCCACAACAATGCCAAATCTTGGGGCGAAGACGACGTGATGGACGTCGTGCCCATTCTCGAGTCGGTCAAGCCGAAGCCACCATCTGACCGGCACCATTATCATCCTCATCGCCCCCGTCCGCCTCTTCGTTGCCCTCCCGCGCTACTCGTACAACCAACGAAAATGCGACGACGTGGCAAAGCGGCAGGTCTGTTCCGCATCTCCCCCACTGACTGCACGCTCGTGTATGCCTCCAAGACCGCACCGAGCGAAGTAGGAAGTGAATTGAGCAGCAGCTGCGGCTGCGACGAGGTTGTGTTTTGATCACCGCTCACGTCGTCTTTGTAGCAGTATTTTAATAGTTGTGGCGACTTAGTACAGTATATACTAGTAGTAATAAGTAATATATATTTAAGCAACGCGTGAGGTTGGGCGAAGTGGTTTCGCTTCGAAAATGATTCCCTTGCCTGGGCAAACAAACCATGTTCTAGCTGACCCTTCCTTTCCTTCGCCCAAAACTGTACGTAGTAGGGGTTGTTTACACGTAAAGTACAGAACCACCGCAGCAATTCTATCTATGAATGCCACAACTCCATAGAACCAAGTATCGGACGATGCCGCCGTCACCATATATTTCATATATATATATTGTGATTTCGCTATCACAATATATATATATGAAATATATGGCGCGTGATTTGTCTAATCAATTTTGAATCACGCTGGAGCTCTGATTGGTTGAATATTCTTGTCCTTCTGTAAGAGCCAATGAAATAATCCACTCGAAATTGGATTAGCCAATAGCGTCGATTTGTGATTCGATTCGGCGGTGAGATTCGATTCGACGGGTACAGTATATATATATTGGAAGGCTTCAAACATGCCGTCGAACGTTAGTAGTACTGTAGTACCGTAGTTAGTAGTCACCAACCATAGATTGTGCGAGGGACTAACCATTAACTATCTACTACTACTACTCAATTGGCTAGCCGTAGCGTGTCCAAGTGGCTGGTGAGCTTGGCGTTCTTCTCGCACTCCTTTTGAAAGTCTCGGATGGCTGCCAAGTACGCTTGTTGCTTTTCCACGAGCTACCATCATCCCCAAAATATTCAGCCACGTCAAGGGATATATATATATTCAATAATATATTTATAAAACACAAGGTTCTGCGTTTTACTAGTACCAGTTGATATTTGCTGTCGAGCGTGTCCACAGCCAACTGCCGCGCCGCCACGTTTGCATGCTGCTTGGTTACGTTATCTTGTACATTTGCAATGATGGTATTCATTTGACCAAAGAACAAGGCGGTTGTGTCGGCCGAGCCGAGCGCGACTTCGAAGTTTGCATTGATGCTGTCAATCAATGCTACCTATACCATAATACGGTAATTCGTGGCTGGGGTAGTTGCTGGCATACACAAAGCAACGCATACCTCCTTTTCGAGAAACTCCAGTGTCGTTTCCTGGCTATTGTACACGGAGTAATACTTTCTCGTTTCGTCCAGCGTCAGCGCCACCTAAAAATACAGTCGACCGACCACCCACAATCATCATGTTAGGTATAAAATAGTACCTGTTTTGATCCAAATATATCCACTTGGCATTATCCGTAGTACAAATATATATATATATATTCGTATCCAACAACAAAAAATATATTTTATATGGCTGAATAGGCTTGGTGTGTACCTCGTCGTACAACTCTGCAAATCGTTTTTCATACTGAATCAACTCACTGCGACTGGGAATGGAGTCAATTCGACGCATGGCTGCTAATATCCCCTGGGCCTCCTTCGCCACGGCTCGTTTCAATTCCATTCGCTACAAAAATATAGTATTTGTCAAATCTATATATATATATATATATAATTATCTGCACTACCTTGTCAACCACCCGTTGATGCCGCTGCTCGATTTGAACGACGTTGTCTGCGACGTCGTCCCCACGCTTCGACGACGACGACCCCACCAACGCTTGTTGTCGACTCTATCAAATATAAATATCAAAAACATTACAGAAAAAACACATATTCTCCTCTAGCCCTATACTAGTATATATTTATCCGTGTCTTCGCTAACCAGTAAAATAATAGGTGCACGATCTGACAGTGAATATATGGCATCGAGTTGTACACGTACAGTACCTGCAGGCTAGCCAACTGTTCAGTACATGACGCTTTAAACTGGGATTCTTGCAGCTTGAGGTTCGTGTGCAGTGCAATGAGGGTCTACGCATATACATGTCACCAATTCAATGCAAACCCAAAATCACATTTTTTCAAATCGATTCGAAACTGGAGCCGCCGCCAGCAGACTCGAATATGTCTTTCGAGAATGGATTGAAGAACCGCCTAAGCCAATCAAATCATGTGCTTCTGAAGAATTTCTGCCAATCCAAAGGACTGATTAAGCGCAATCCCTCCTCATTGGGCAAAACCTGATATACACTAAACATGGTAAAGTTTAGTTTGCACAGGCCTAACAGTGTAAATAGTGTCATATGCTATTGGCTAATTAGTAACTCAAAAATCGTCCAAATTTGGGTAAAATACATAATCACACACATAATTATCTTACGCGAAGTTGCAGCAGGTCGTGGGCGTTGGTGACGGCGGCTTCGCGCATCTCGAGCTGCTCTTGCTTTCGCTCAAGGGCGTGAAAGGACTTCACCGACGTCGACTCGAGTGCTTCGAGCCGCGCTGTTTCGACTTGTAGTGTATGCAATTCGAGATTGGCATTGTGTAGCTGGGCTTCCTATACGAATCACGCAATAGAATTCACCGTCTCACAATAAAAATAATAGTAAAAATATTTAAAAAATAATAGTAAAAATATTTAAAAAATAATAGTAAAAATATTTAAAAAAATAATACTAATAATAATAGTAATAATAATAGTATAATAATAATAGTATAATAATAATAGTATAATAATAATAGTATAATAATAATAATATAGTATAATAATAATAATAATTAACAATAAAAAATAATAATAGTAATAAATAAATAAAAAATAATAAAAAATATTTAAACAAGGAATAAGCAGATAAAAAACGATAACGCGCTTGGAGGAGGTCGTGCCTGGGCCTGCCCTTTCTGGAGCAGCTTTTGACGGTCGCGTGTCCATTTTCGTGTTGCGGCGAGCCGCCCAAACGCATCGGCCGGTGACGCGTCGACGTCAAGACCCCGAGCTTGTTGACGTAATCGCTGACGAATCGAATCCGATGTCGTCTCGTACACCACCGACGCGGCGTGGAGTGCCTACGATAACAAACATCATATTAAAAATATTGAATGCTTCGAAATAAAAATTTCAATATATATAGTATTGATATCCTACAGATTTTCAAAATACAGCAACAACACCCGTTTTTCAATTCTTTCACCTCATATGCTATATGAATAAATTGATATATATATATGTATATTTACTTGATCCACACCAGACACAACCAAACCAGCGACTTGACGAGTTCACTTTTATCGGTAACAGTATTCATATTTTGAGCACTTGAATCAACGTCCATTTATATCTGCTAGTAACTAAGACATCAACTAAGGTAAGCAAACACTAAGACATCAACTAAGTGAAGCAAACACACTAACTAAGATATCAACTAAGGTAAGCAAACACTTACCTCTGCGTTTGCCGTTGCGTAGGTATACTTGTCGTCCTAGAACCACGAGGTATATATATCCACTAAAAACGATGCCAAATATGTCGATATATATATATATATATATACGTGCGTGGCGGCGGCGTGTCGAAGGAGTTCGTCCTGGTGGCGTTGCTGTTCTAGAAGCGCTCGTTGCTCAGCAACGCCTGCTTCCTTTTCGGCAGTCTTGTATAGGCGATCAAAATCGTCATTCGATGTACATTCCACGGGCGCATCACCCTGCGCATCCCTAAAAGTTGAAACGTTAGCCAGCAGTGTATCTAAACCACACTTGTTTGGGATGTTCGAGTCCACCGTTGGCGCTGGATGGCCATGGCTTGCTTGGCGATGGCGGACAGCAGCGGGTTCGCGCTGGGGGCTACGGTCGCGGCGGTGTCATGGTCTGCTGTAGCCATCGTAGCCGCCGCGGGGCTAGCCAGTCGTTCGCCGTATTCCAGCAAGCATCGTTGGATCCGCTCCTGTTCTGTGTTGGTCTCTCCGTGCGGCTACATTATTCAAATATCATCAATCTCGTCGTAGAAGTTAGAGTTCGCCTACTCGAAACTTGGACTGCCGCTCGACACGGTACCATGGCGCGTGGGGAGGTCGTGGGGGTTGTGTGCCCAAGGATGTCGTGCGAAGATCGTTCCACTGGGTCTGAATGGCTTGTTGGACGCGAGTGTTGAGCTTGATTTGCGTGTGCTGCACGAGCCACGCTACAACGAGTTTGAGTTTGGCGTAGTTGGCGCCTTGGAGCTCGTGCACGCTCAACGTCAACGCCTTGGTTGATGTGGCGGTCGTGGCCAAGGACATGAGCGCCGTGTTGAAACTGTGGCAGATGGCTTCGGCCACACGCACGCGCTCCTTCACCGTGGCCACTGGGCGAAACAAGATGTCGCAGTCGACACTGGTCAACTCTTCGCTCTGCAGACAAAACACCAACCCCCCCACGACACGCTCGTAAATGGGGATCTCAACCAAGGATGCCCGATGGTACCCATGCTCCACAAGCATCTCCACGCATTCCTGCGCCAGAATATCGCGCTCCAACGACTCGGTCGTTGCAGGAACCGCGTTGTCGTTGTTGTTTGCCATGCTGAGCTGATCGAATATCTTGCGATCCACGGCGGTATCCGGATAATAATGGTGCCCGATATGCTCTACTTTACGATTTACGAAATTCTACAGGTTGTTTACAAAAGAATAATTCGAATAATTCCCTCATTAACAGTTCCACTGTTGTTTTGACCCGAAATACTGTTGTTTCAATGAGGTATTATCACATCCGGATACACCTTTTCACATACTAGTACATAGGATACTAAATCTAACTGCATTGCTAGTGGTTAGCTATCGCTAATAACCCGCTGAGATGCACTTAACCGCGCCGACCAAACCGATCCACAATCGATCTGATTGGTTAAATTTCATTGAGAAGGTTTTGGTTGGCTAAAAATTTTGAGCTCAACTGAAGTAGCCAATCAAATCGATTTCAATTCCAACGAGAAACCACGCCACAACACGAAATTCACTCGAAAGCACAATATTTGGAGATTTGTTTTGGATATTTTTATAAGGGTATTTCCCAGGATCGTCCAACCAAGGCCAAAATTTCTCATGATCGTCCAAGTTGAACTTTGTCGAAATAATTTTATTCCAAATCGTCCAAGTAGTTTTCATTGGCTAAAAATACTTGGTTAAAAAAGCTATGTCGTGTTTTCCATTGCCATTCCAGAATTCCACAGACCGTGCCGCGCCAGAACGCAGGCATGGACCAAGCACATGCTGGAACATCGGTGAGCACGATCATCCTTCCATAACGTTAACCTAACGGTGTGCTCGAGTTCTGTCGTAGCTGTGCAGTCAGCCCACGGCCGACCCGCCGCAGATTTGCCGACCCGCCACGAAACGAATCAATCACCATGGTAAGAATTGGAGCTAGTGTTGTGGTGGTACTGTATGTATGTGATGTATGGTGTCATAACCACTTTTTAGCTGGCGAATCTGGTGGATTATGTAGGTCTGTGCTGCTATTATGCAGGACTGTGCTGCACGACTGGAAGGCCAGAGCGACGACACTCAAGAAATCGATGTTGTGGCGCAATGGAAGCGCGCCTGCTTGCAGGAGGTCTGGGTTCAATTCCCAGCAACGTCAATCCTACCATGCACGCGAAAACACGACGCAAGGTAGGTGCATAGAGTAAGCGGTACCGTACCAGTACCTGTTGATCCTTCGCGAATGCCATTTATGTCTGAATGTGTTGAATCCAATGCGATGCGCGTTAAATGTATTGTTGTTTTGCTGCTTGATTATTGGATTTATTCACCTTCATTACAGTTCTACTATTGCATCCAACTCGTCTACTTGCTCATCTG